TCCTTTGACTATCCAATGGAGGGTAATTATGGTGATCTTAATGACTATGAGATGCAGGTGAAATCTCTTGGGATTATTGTGTCCCAAAAGTCATCTATTCGATTGTTGTGAATGTTGTTACCTGGGTTTATTCCTTGCAGCTGCAGTGGACGTCACTGTTAAACAAATTGCTGACCAGAGAGATGCTGATCCATCGAGCAGAATAACTAAATTCAGTTTACTTTTAGTGTTTACAGGTGCCAATTAATACGTTTTTTTAATATTGTATTGTACAGCATAGAAAGGATGTTTCTGTGAATTCTGTGACATGAAGTCGTCAGTGCCAGTGAAATAGCAGCACTAATGTGAATCAATGCCAGGGGCCTTAGCCTCTTAGCTTTAATGATCTTCCTTAAGTAACAAGGTAAAAATGACCCTCTCCCTCTGGATTTTGAAGATGGTTCATCTAAAAAAAGTACCTCAAACAAATCCAGGAATTCATGGGACCAGTGGGGAATTGTGTTTAAAAAGAAAACTTAACATTTCCGCCTTGTCTTCCTCTGGCAGTTTCCACTGTGTACATTCCAGTAATTCTGTGTCTTCCATCTGCTGATACTGTATGAATGATCACACTGCGCCTCTACCCCGGGTTTGGAAGCGTTGTTTAAACACAATGTATAATAGGAATTCTAGCTTTTTCTCATTTGGCTTAATTTATTCAGAAAAGACTAAGTGACACATATAAATCCCAGATTCTGCTTCTTTTAAGTATGAACTCCAAAGCAGACTGACTCAACTAAAACAAAACAAAACAATAAACAATCAAACAGAGAAGTTATACGTTCAGTTAAACCCAGGAAACAGGCTTTGGCATTAGGCTTTAAGCCCATTCTGACTGTTGGATACTAAAGTTCATGGAAGTGTAAAAATGAGAAAATAAGGATATATCGTGGTGTATTTTGGCTTTATGGACCATTCTAACTAAAGTTTACATTACAGCAAAAATGTGTAAACTTTCAATTTGTTTTCAATTCTGTCTGAAAAACCTAAAAACATATGTTTTGTCTCACAAACATTTCCATTATTTAATGAAAATCCAGTTAGTGGAAAGTTGCAGGAAGCTCTGTCCATGGGAGACTTCTTTAAGTCCAAAATAAATCAAAATGTTTTACTTGATTTCTCCACAAATACACAGTTTCTGTTCTTTTTTAATTGTTTGATTTTTGAACAAATATTAAAAATGACTAATTGTCTATTTCTGTGCTTTGCACTTGTGGATGACCTGTACCATTAGCACGCAGTCTACAGACCATGTTTGCATGTTTAAGGATTTGCTTACATGCAAGATCTGAAAAACACCAACATTGGTTACGAGTTATTATTTTAAATACTGCCTGACACACATTACCCTCAGGGTATCTCATAAGTAATTACATGGTCTGATGTACTATCTACCCTGTCACCACATCTGAACCCAGTCAAAAAGGGGAGAATTTGGATTGATGCGTTAAACACTCAACTCCATAACCATCAAATCTTTTGGAAGACTGATACAGATCCATCTTTCCAGAGACTTGGAAAATCAATGCCAGGGTACATTGAAGCAGTTCTGAGAGAATCTGGCAGGCCAATGCTCGCTAAGACACTTCACCTTAAAGTAAGCAGTCAAGGACACAGTAACCTGTCTGTACATCATGTCGTTATGTTACAGTCTGTGGCTGCATGTAGCTGTTACACATGTGCAAAACAGAAATGGAAAATTAAGAGTACTGTATCACTCTTTTTAAATATTTGCTAAAAAATGCAACGACCCAAATGTGATCAACTGAAAGTTTATCATGCTATTATCCCATCCTATCCAATCTGTCCACGTAATACAAGAAAATGGATGATGACACATTCAAATAAATTCAATTGGATTCATTTTGTTAATTAATTAAATACAAAAGTCACTATGAACCAAGATCACGTTAGTAACCTTTGTCTTATGCAATGTTTCCCTGAATTTATACAACAAAATAAGTGAACCTAACAACGCTCAGTGCGAAGGCTACTAAAGGGAAACACCTACCTGAGTTAGCTGGACCTGTCTTGCCAGTAACACCACTGACTTAATGGGCCAATTATTCAATTAGCAAGGACGCAGCCAGTCTGACTTCTACGGAAAATCTTATCCAGTTGCAGTTGACTAGAAAAGATGAGCTAGTTGACAGCTGAAGAACTCATTTGGGAAACCAACTAAAGCAGCCATTATAATAACCTTTCTAAAACCAGAAAGACTGGAAGTGTATTTGTTCTGAACTGAACTTTGGGCACTTAAACTTCACAAAGAAATTGTTGCATCGTGGGCTCTCAAACACTCGGCTCAAACATGTCTGAAAGCATTTTAGGCATCAACATTTTGATAATGTTTAAAGTCTGTAATCGTCACACATTCACCAGGGCCGGGTGCTCCTGTATTTCTGCTTCTGCTTCACCCACTGGGCAGTGTAGCAGTGCACCCCCACAGCCCATGACCTGTCTTCAACTCTGTCACTCTCCCACAACAGAGGTCTGCCTGCTGGAAGCTGTGAACTGTCCAGAACCTTCATCTCCTCTTCAGAACGACGGGATTCAGGATCTGTGCCCAGGTGTGTTTCTCTCCTGTCTAAAGAGGCAGTGCTGCTTATGCAGTCCTTCTTGGATGTAGAGAGAGGTGGAAGCAAGACAGGCCAGTTCCTGTGTGAACGGGGAGTTGGTAAAAAGGTAAAAGTGAGGGCAGATATGAAACTGAACATTGCTCTTATCCGATTTCTTCATATCTATGGTTGTGTGTGAGGGCTGCTGTCACTCTGCTACCCACATGATGATTATATGTCACACTGTCTCATCAGCTACTCGTGTTATTGTGTTATTTGAGGAAGACAACTTTACTACACTGCACCCACAATGTGAAATATCTGCACAACTTTGCTCAAAGCTGCTAAAAGCTCTGGTCGTCTGCGCGTAGATTCTTATAGTCCATTAAGGAATTGAAGAGGCTCAGAAAGTCTCAAAGTCTTCAGATCTTTTTCCCTCATCATACTGATTATTGTGTTGCCAACAATAATCAGATGTAGCATTTAATCCATGTGTCACCATGAATTTATTACATCAATAAGCTAATAGGAAAGTCTGGAGATGTGGTTGCATATCTGGTGCATTTTAGAGAAACGGTCCATCATAGTCATCCGTCTGCTGGGATGTAATTCCAATTTAGGTATTTTTGTAATTGTGACAACAGAGCCCTCTTATCACATTTTGAGGCGTTTCAACCCCACATCTGCACTAAACCTCCTCATTTTCTTTTTGAATGCCTGCTAACCTCTAAAACAATCGGTGGATCAATGTGTGAATACCTGTTTTGTTGTGAGTGAATACTGTATCCCAATGTGTATGACTGATCCCCTACTGCTCTCAGACCTGAGGTGGCACATGGTGCTAACATGTGAGGAAAGGGAACAGATGAATAATAAAAAATAAAAATGAGAAATTGATGAAACACAGTTTTCCATAAAAAGAATATTTCTTATAATCTGCATTTTTCCTTTAGCAACAACATGACTGTGCTGACTTAACAACAATGGCCCAATGCTCAGTGCTCTGAGAGCAAACATTCATAATAATGAAAGAAACATTTTACATGTAGACTGTCTATAACACTTCAAAACCCAGCTGTGCGTTACGTCTGACAACCACAACTGGGTCAGCGTTTTAATCAGAGCATAAGATAAATTTAAACCCAAGTGATCCCAAGCATATTCATGGACACGGTAACTGTGATGAACATGCTCCTCTGCAGTGTGGGGTGGTTCTCGTAAGAGCCAATTTGCTTTACTTAAAGAACCCAGTAACTTTCTTACAAGGATTACCTCTCAAGTGGATACATTGTAAGTGTTGACTACATGAACAAAGTAACAACAGTGTACAAACCTGTGATCAAAGGAAACTGACTTCTCTGATGAATCTACTATATATGAAATACATTTCAGTTTCATTTTCCCCAAATAATAGAAAGGAATAAATAAAAGTCATTTAGTAATCGAGGTGTACGTCCAAACTTTGAAGCAGTCTTTTATCTGCCTTAGTCTTCAATCAATATTTTGCAATGCTAAAAAAAGTTCAGCCCAGCGTATCATACTGGACGTTAGTGATCAGTCAGTGGCTGATGAGTTACGAGTATCCTGTCACACAACCACATTTCCAGAGAGGTTGGCTAAATAAAAACAGAAACCAGTGATTTGCTAAATATTTACATTTTCTATTTATTGAAATAAAAAACTAAATAAAATAATAAAATAATAAAAAACTGGATAAAAAAAAAAAATGTTGACAAAATTTTAAATGTAAAATGTAATACCTGCAACAAAAACACTGGCCAGGAGTGGTTCACGTCTCCATTGGTCTAAAACTAGACTAAAATCAAGGATGGGTTTGACCCCACATGTGCAAACGAGAGCCTGCTTCCCTATTTCACATGTTCTGGTCCAAAACCGGGTAGCTTTTGGAAAAGCATATTTGAAACCATGTCCAACTTATTGGTGTTCCAATTGCACCCTGCCCGTTTATAGCTATTTTTGGGGTGACGCCTTGTGATGCCAGTGTTTCCTAATCACACTCTGATCTTCTGGCCTTTTGCACTCTTTTGGCCCGTAGAATGATATTATTGAAATGGAAAGAGCCACTTCCACCTGTATAGGGCAATGGGTTAAGGATGTCACGTACTATACTCAGCTGGAAAAGATCCGCTACACTGTAAAAGGTTCGGTTCGGAGGTTTTATGACACATGGAATCCTTTTCTTACTTACTTTGAAAGATTAAGTCCGGATACTATCGCTTAATGTGCGTGTGAGTGTTTTTGGGTTTTTTTGTTTGTTTTTTTCCTTGCTGTTGTTCATTTATTTTATTATTTACTTTGTATCTGTAATTTTCTTTTATTTCATCTCTTCTTTCCTCTCTGGCTGGGTTTTAGTTACACTGTTCTGGACGGGGGGGGGGGGGGGCACTGTTTGTTAATATTGCCGTAATTGTTGTTGGAAGCAATTCTTTGTTCAATAAAAAGACCTTGATCAAAAAAAAAAACACTGGGCCAGGTACAGATTTAACACTAAGCTAGATTATGTATTCGTTTAACAACATCAGAACATTTGGGATGCGTGAAAATGTTATTGTTGTTATTGCGTTTATACTGTTTTCATATAAACATTGTACATTAAATTAATGTACAATTATGTACAATTTACATGAATTTACATCCAAGCATGATGTGGTTTTTAACTGCCATCAACACCTCTACAAAACCTCACCCGGAGAGCGTCTGTGCAGCAGTCCAACAGCTCTGGTGTCCATGTGTCGACTGTACAAGTTGCATCTCGCAACTAGACCCTGTTGACTACTGGAGAAGTAGCAGAAGCCAGCAAGGATGATGAGAAGAAAATCAAATAAGAGCAAGGCAGAGAAAGGAGAGAAGACAGGCACATGTTTGGATGGAAGAAAGAAAAAAAAGAAATAAATGACATAATTACACAACTCAAAATATAACAAACAGAAAAAATGCATGGTATACTGCTGAAATAACACACACAAAAAAAGAAGAATGGAAAATAAGACTCCGGAATAAAAGTCGCAGCCTTAATTTACAATATCCTGTTTAAGTATCATTTCTGTGTGTGACAAAATGCAATTTCACAAGAGCAGTTTTGTGGCAAGTTGTTTAATGAGTTCTAAAAAAGTCAAGCAGATAAGACACGGCCATCAAGCTCCAGTCTGTCGTGCTGATAACAAGAAGGCCAAAAGGAGTTTGTTCTCTCCTCATTCGAGTTGAACAACTATTCTAGCAACAACAGACTCCCCATTCATAAGACAAAAACAGGCTATTTATTGAGCTAAGACACATCAGCCGTTCCTTTGAAGGGAAGGAACAGGCTGGTCAATGAAAGCCTAGCTGAGATCTATTAAGGGAACTATTGATGACAGAAAGACGAGCCAGAATCAGTCAGAGGGACAAAATAAATGGAGCACAATGGGTAACGAAAAAAGGGGAAAGAGAAGAGAAAGGAGGAGAGAATGAAAGGAGTCGGTCAGCAAAATAATTACAAATTACAGGAAAACTCGAGCCACTAATCAAGATCTGCACCTTGTTCTACTCAGAACAAGCATCTGACCAGTTTTTATGGCCACTTTAACCATGCATTCAATGGTACACATACAATTTATATAACTTTACACAACTATTAGTGCTATTAACATACCACTTACACTTAGAGCTGGGCGATAGAACGATAACGATATGTATTGCGAAATAACTTTTTCTCGATAGAAAAATGAAACTATTGCGATAGACCAATACAAATTAAGTAGCGCAGAGCTGAACCAATCACAGCTGCAGCGTCACGTCACGTAACTTGTTACGTACAGCTCAAGTGCCAAGCCGCGCATGTGTATTTGTTTGGGAAGCAGCCAGCCGCCATGCGGCTGGGTAATCGAGGAAATGGCTAGAGAAAAATCAACCGAGAGCTTGGGTGACCAGGTTACCGAAGAGAGCACAGATGATGGTTCCAATGCCGGAGAGATTGTTGAAAGGAAAGGCCAGAGAAGTTCCGTAGTGTGGAGGTATTTCGGCTATTTGAAGTCTGACAAAAAACGTAACGCGCTGTAAATTGTGCCGAAAGCAAGTCTGGAAATACAACAAACCTTTTTTATCACCTGAAGCAGTGCCACCCACTAGAGCACACTCAATCTCCGACTGAAAGCGCTAATTCGTCATCGAAAACAACCAGGGGAATCCCTGCGAAGCAGCTCCAGCGTCTTACCATATGACAAAAAAGCTAAGAGACATAGCAACATAACGAATGCCGTAGCTTACTGTCTTGCTAAAGACACGCTACCAATAAACACGGTCGAAAATGAAGGATTCAAGCAGCTAATTAAGGTAAAGGATCCTCGTTACCAACTCCATGAACATAAACATTTCTCTCAGACAGCGCTTCCAAAGCAATATTATATAAGTTAGTCAGTTTTCTCTGTTCTTCTGTAAAATAAACTAAGACTTATTTTTAGAATTAATATTTTGTTTCTAAGTGGAACTGACAATTTAGTTTGTTTGTTTGTTCTATTTTGAAACTTAAACACTTCAGCGGCAACTTTTTGTGTAGTTTGTAATATTTGCCTTTATTTTGCCTAAACTGAAGCCTCATTTTAAGTACATCTGCCCTGTTGAACTTATTATGGGAAATAAATATTTAAATCAAAACAAGCTGCTGATTATTTCACATTTTATTTGAGAGGAACGGCACATTTAAATCTTATATATATAGTTATTTGGCTTATATCGTGATATATATCGTTATCGCCTGAAATGAAAAAAACATATCGTGATATGAAAAAATCTTATATCACCCAGCTCTACTTACACTTATTTATTATATTCATATTATATATATGACCCATTTATGTATAAAGCACCTATAACAGTGTTGTATCGACACAGAACTGACAAAAACAGACAAATGTGAATAAAACAACAGATTCACAGATAAAACAGCATTTATTAGCATTTTTGAGGCCATTTATTAAACTAGCCTAAAGAACTACCTACAGCAGATGAACAGTATCTGAAAGTTGAACCTGAAAGAGGAATTTGGCCTTTTAATTGCACCATCTATGTAAACCTCATCAGAAATGCTCTCAGCAGCGACTAACCTAAACAGCTGGCCAAGCTGGAGGTGGCAGAGGTGACGATGTTAGGTTTTCATTGGCAGAGACCAGAATGAACAGGATTCAATATTAGTATATCAGAGCGGATTGGAGGAAAGGTCAGAGAGGTTGAGACGATTTGGGCAGACGAGGAGGGACAGTGGACAAACTGGACAAAGGATGCTGAAAATGGAGCCGCTAGGCAGGAGGAAAATAGGAAGACTTTAGAGGAAGTCTATGAATTTAGTCAAGGATGGCGTTCGTGTGACAGAAAAAGATGCTAGTGTTAGGATGACGGTCCATGTAAACACTGACTGTGGGAATGACAACGGTGTAATCCTGCTTCGTCTAAACCGGCACCCTCTACACAGGTGGAACAACATTTGTCTGCTAAGTGTTTCTTCTCACAGATCCAGCTTTTCTTTGCTACTGAGGCTGAAACTGTGGACAAATTTCACTTGCAGTAACTGACCTCGACATGATGTTAAGATGTGTAAAATATAGCTTTCCATAATGGAGCTGCAGAAAGAAGCGCGTTACTTCTTACCTGGTGCGTCTTGCTCTGCAGCGATCGCTGAGAGGTGACTGTGGGCTCTGGTTCCTGTTGCAACCAGGGGAAGAAGTTGGAGTGACTCGAGGGGGTGCCCTGCTGGGGGAGCATCCCACGCTGAGGGATTTGGACCACTGGGAGGCTACCGAGCGCTGGGGGGAGTGGGGAGGAGCAAACGGCCAAGGAAGAGTCTTCTGCTCCTG